TATTATTATTATTATTATTATTATTATTATCTACCGCTCGGTGGGGTAGGTAGCTGTGCATTGAAGGCGGGAGCTGATAAATTAGTGCGTAAAGTACAGCACTGTAAGTGGATTGGTAAGTGAGGGGATTGGGAAGGGGGCTATGCATTGGAGGCAATAGCTTGGATGCACGAGCGTCATTGAGGGCGCGACTGGGCCATGTCTGACAGTGTCTCTAACCATTGATGTGGTCCCCATCCAGGAAGACGGCAATGACCAGCGCAGCTGAGTTTGCTGGTAGTGGCTTCTATACTTGGCTGCCAACTCATTGTTTGATCACATCGGTTTGACATCTGCAATAATTGATACATCGGTTATATAAAAACAGCACACCTCGCCCCCACATTGCTGGTCGGCCTCCATGGTTATTTATCTATCTATGAGTTTGGTTTTCACATTTTCCGGGCTGGACGTAAGAAACGAACAAGCAGATGTGAATGCATGGTCAGCAATATATCAGATAACAGATGTTTACCGTATTCTACGTCACAGGCCTTTCATACAGTTTTTTTTCGGATGGGCCTCTCTTTTTTTGTCATTAGTGTGTGAAGCGACAGATGAGAAGCCAAAGTGAGTAGGTTTCAAGCTTCGGTGGAGCTACCTTACTGGAAAGTCCTGACGGGCCGATCGGTCGACAAAACCGAGGTTTGTTACTGGATCGTTGTTCGGGTTGTCGGTGTTATCAACCACATCATTCAAGCGCGAACGTATTCACCTGCTCAGACGTTTAGTTTGCGCCTGTAAATTAGTAATGACACACTAGTCTCGCACATCAGATGCGAGATATTCGAATACTGGCATGGTCAAGGAGATGCAACGTTGATGAGCTCTAATTAGAACATAATTCAAGACCGGTGCTTCCCCCTTTGGGTAGACTTACTTCAAACGTGAATGATGTGAGGTGGATTCTACAAATCCTGCAACCGCCCACAACAAAAGACAGAATACAACTACATACAGCGTGATACCTCCGTTGTCTAGGAGGGGACAACAATTCACAAAAGGAAACAAAGCAAGGCTTTGGATTGTAAGTAGTAGTGGTTTTTTGTTTCAGTTTGCCACCGGTTGGGCAAATGCTTAGGACGAAATTAATGAGACCAGATTCTAAGCTATTGATGGGCATAATTTTAGACAGGAGTCCAGTAGGTTTCCAAGTAATCAGGCGTTGGCCCGACCTGCGGTCAAACAAAAAAGACCGCGAATTTGCCAGAGTACACATGGATGTACATAATGGAGCTGTGGTGAAAGACCTACTTTGGTGGATCTAGCGGTGTAACGTTGGCGACTACTGATGAGGCATGCGAGTAGCATGTTTTCTCGTAAATCCTCTTCGCGTCTCTTGAAATAAGAGATCCATTACGGAAATTGTGGAGTTGCTTTGTAGCAGTTGCTTGCTTTTGAGTAACAGTCGATGAATATCCAGTAAAGTTCAGGAAGTCGCGTTCAAGGAGAAGATATACATTCCGTTTTGTAAGCAAGACGCATATTAGTTTTGCTTCCCTGTCCACTAGTCTGTAACTATTCAGTTGGTGTTTTCTGATAGACACTCCGCATTACCACAATTAAATCAGTTTCTGATGTTTGTGACGAGTTATTAGTGGGTTCAAAATGGGCTAAAAGCGGTCGGTAATAAACACGTCTGGACTGACACTGGATTTACCACCAATTAAAAGGCTAATACAATGCTAGGTATACCTTGAAGAAAGCATTTCAGAGAAACTTGTTGTCAATATGCGATTCTTCTTCGTGTGCCCTTTTGTGCGAGCAAAAGTCAAACTTGGGGTTGGTGGGAATATTTATCAGCTAGATTACTATCCGAAACACCTTCCAGAAAGAAAACCGTACTTTTGGCGGCACCACAAAGTTGTTCATTTGCATTAACTTTATGACTGTTAAATTGTCTTCAGGATGTTACAGGCACTGGCAGAATATTCTCTCGCCACAACGACATACCACAGGTGATATGCAAGTGACCGCTTCTAGGAACAAACCACAGTTCGTCAAATATGAAATTGAAATAGATGGAACAGAGGACGGTGCGATGCGGAAGAACTCCACAAGTGTGTACCTCTCAAATTTCAACCTGGTTTCCTCGTCAGGCGAGACACAATTGACGTGAATATTACTACCCCGGGGCAGGTATTTCACGCTATGGCTCTGTCAACAGCCCTCTTACGAGGAGACAACATGGCCGTCGGAGAAGCCTTCTGCTGTTAATTAGTCTTCCCTTGAAAGGCCAAATGATTCTTGAAAACAAATGATCCACTTGGATAGTGTTCAAAACTTTGTTACGGCACACGTTCCCTAGTAGCAACAACGTACGAAATTTTCAATCATTTTGTCAAAATAGCTCGTTTCGGAGCATCTAAGCACAAAGAAAAGTTGTATCGATTTGTTTAGACGACAGATGGCTGAATTCCTTCATAACGTTCATCAAAAATGAGTTTATTGACAACATAGCATAATTTGAGAGTTTTGATCGAGGTTTAATCTTCCAGCCTATAAAGTCTGATCGACAGAGTGTTACTCATATGCCGTCAGTAGATGTTGACCCGTTAAATGCTATTTATACTTCTGGTTATACAATTCCTGTTCAGAAATAAACTTTTTGACATGACAAGGCCACTGAATTCCCATAACTCATTGATCCTTGGGTCAAAGGCCGACTGATTCAGTCATCGATCGACCGGCCAACTATTTTTGTAAATATCCGATTGCTTGATTAATAAACGTTCCACCACCTCACTGAATGAATTACTAGATCCCTAATTACTCAACCCACTGACTTACTGATCAGTTGACTGTCCGATTTTTTAATTGACTGATTTATCGATTGATCGGCTCGTAGACTGGCTGCTCAAGCATTAACTTGTTTCCGCTTCCACAGAAAATCCGCCCGTGCGGATAGGAAGACAAAGCCTACCTTCTCGACCTTTCCCAAAAAGTTCGGTCATTTATCATAAATGTTAGTCTGATTACACGGAATACTTTGCGCGGCAAACAACTTGGTTATAGCAGACAGGTTGTATTGGAAATATGCAGAATACCGGCAACTTAACTCGGTGATTAATGAAACCTCCAGATCCACCCGAATGAGTGGCGAAGTGTAGGGGATCAGGACAATCCTGGAAACCATTTTAAGGAAGCAAGTCGAAGAGGCTTTGTACGGACACTACTTTAGCTATTTTATGCCAACACATAGTGATCAACTTTTTATCTGCGTCACCTAACAAACACCGTAGAAACGAACCCTTTTCAGGTAGACAGTTGTCCCATTTGTTGTTCGAAGTGCTGGAGACTACAGCGTGTCAACTGTTCAGCTTCAAGGCAGAAACACAGAACGACGTCAGACAGTCCGATCCCTACCGACTATGCGGAGAACATTTTGGCTGCCTGCCGTGAGGGCATTTTGTTTTCCATCAAATATCTGGCTGAACAACCACTGCCGTTGTCCAATGTATGGATTGTTTAACCCATAAGACTGGTACGGTTTTCGTAGGCATGGACTTTAATGATTTAATCCAATAGCGGAAAAAGATGAACGGATGACTGCTATCAATCGATAATAGGTTAGAGTGCGAGTGAATCGTTTCCACACAAGCAGTCCTAACCTCCCCGACACAAAGTGACGTACAAGTTCCTTTTTCAAAAAAGGGCTTTTCAGGACAACGAAAAGTAAGAAGCTCCATACTTCCAGCCGAAAGAAAACGCCCTGAGAGTTTCTAACCAGTGGACATCTTTCAAAACCCAGTGGACTATACCTTGAAAATTGTGTTGCTTTCAGGATTGCCAAATAAAATGTTTTGATTAGGGAATATAATGATCTGTGATCGACCAAATGATGCATTCGCATTAGGTAAATTCTTCAGCGTTTGGGAACATCTTCGACCGCAGGTCGACTCCAATGAAAAAACGTAATATCCTACCAGATATATCAAGTACCAGACGGTGAACTGTTGGCATTTGTCTGTCCGGTGGGATGTGTCGCATACTCAGTCCATATCTCGGTTCAACCGGTTGCCATTGCAATGTGGAGTTACGTTCCTGTTCAGAACCGGTCTTGCTGAATTCCAGTATCATTTCTGGGGGCCCGTTGGCCACAGCAACGCAGGTTAACTTTACGGCATCTTCTAGACTTCGTTCGGCGAGTAACAATGTCCGGTTGATGATCTGGGGTACCAATATGACCTCGATGTCCAGACTGAGAAATCGCAAAGCAGAGATCGGTAGTGAGGGTTAACGAAAATGTATATCTGGAGTTTTCATCTTTTCAGGTTTACCCCTCAGTACAAGTGAAACAGCATGCCCGTGAAAGTGTTTCCTGTAAGAAGTCAAATATCATGCATTCCAGTGGCTTTGAAAAAGCCCAGGATTATAAAATCCGAGGAGCAGTTTTGCTTTAAAAAACCAATTAAACTCTAAATTTTAGTCTGAATTTTAGTCATTGTTAAATTCCCCTATAGTGCACGAAATGTCTGTCAAGCTACTTGTTCTTTTTCAAATCGTTGCGGTCCATCTGAATGTGAGGTCTAACGAGTATATAAACGAACATAAGACGATTAACTATAAATTCCTGGAAGGCAAGAGCTTTCCCCATGAATCGGATTCATACACTTTGTTAAGTAAACACCAACTAAGAACCAGTCTCACGAAAGCGTTTTACACAGAAATCTCGCTGCAATCCTGGCATTTGTCTGGGAGAACTAGCATTCTTTTTTTATCCCTTCAATAGTTCAAAGCACAAATTCATTTGTGAGCACTCCTCAGGCACTCTTTTCGATGTCCGGTTACAAGGTCACCAACTGAAAACAGCAATTTGGTAACTCAAAATACTACGTGCATTGATGCCTCCCCATGTTCACACCTGCAAATGTTACATCCGCAAGTAACAGATGAAGGACAGTCAAGTCAAGGTTAGTCCATCAGCTTGTCCAGCACGGTGTAGAGCTTCCCCACATACATTGACCTCTGCACAGTTTCTGATAATTGATCAGCCAATCAAAACCATTTCAACAAACTTGCATAGCCCTCATTTTACATTAGAGCCCATACGAGTTCTTCATACGACTATGTATGTAGGATAAGCTCGAAAAATGGTCACCGGTTTGTTGGCAAATGGGGGTAAGTTGATTACAAACGTTTTATTACCAATCGAGATGATATCATTAGCGTGTTCACTAATTCTCCTCAATAACGCACCAATGGCGTTAGCCTCACTGGTGATAGAACGCTTGTAACCAAATTGCCCAGCTCAGCGAACAAACTAACTGACACCTGCATTACCTGCGTTACCGACATTCTCCTCAAGTAGGACAAAAACGTTTTACTCACTTTTCAATTACCCGGAATATCTGGTATATCTCATCAGGACAAATGATTCCCAGCTATTCTCTGAATATAGGTCTCTACTGTTCGAAAAATTTGGAGAGTTAATTTTGGTGCAAGGCAAACAGATATGGATTGGTCCCAACGTTGAGGCAATGATCCCATAAACAAGAACAGATCATTGATTAGTCTTGATGCACTCGCATCCATATTCTTAATGTTTCGTATGAAGATGAGCCACACTGAAATCCGAAAGAAAGCACAGGTAAATCGAAGGTGAAGGAGGCTAAAAGTATCTGCATGGTGTCTTTAGTGAGTCCATCATTTAGACCACTACTTCTGAAAACTGCCGTCATTCAGAACACTTACAATATACGGGGAATCACTCATTATCATCGACTGACTGTCTGTTGTGTAAAACGCCCACAGACGCAATGGTTTTAGACGAAGTTTCCGGCATTATCCACTTTGATTCTTGAGCGGTGCTTATATGTCCTCATCACTAAGCAACTGAATAGTTTGCATGTGAGGAAACACTCGTGACCAGCCGTTGCAAGATTCTCCAAGTCTCTGGAAGTTTGGTTTTCCCTTATCTTTCTCTCTTTGAGTCATTCGAGAGTGACTGATGCATACTGTGGGATCATTCTCAACAATGATTCTGTCAATTCGGATAAGTTGTCGTAGATCTGATGTGCTTAGTCTCCAATGAACGACATCTGCACAAAGTGGGTTGTGACCGAAATTACTGGAGAGTGCAAACCAAACTTACTAAAGTACACCAATGACCGGTATTTCCTGGAGAAAATTCATGCACCAATGAGAGTTCTTTTTCGAAAACGGAGCAGTCAGCTGCTCGTTCTGGGTTGAGGCCTTCTGTTGAATTTTTTCGGAATTCTTTGGACACATGAATGGTCTAGTTACACACGATTCAGTTGGTTGTAAGTCCTCGCGATGTAGCCCACAGGGCATCACACACAGGGGGACAGACCAAGACATGGCAAAGTGGAATGAATGAAGTTACATCCAACCTGATTGCTGTGATATTCTCGAGCGACACTCGCGATGTAGCCCACAGGGCATCACACATAAGGGGACAGACCAAGACATGGCAACGTGGAATGAATGAAGCTATATCAAAACTGATTGCTGTGATATTCTGGAGCGACCGTGACCTCGATCCCTGTTTGCAACTGGTCAGAAGCCCCGCAGGAAATGACGTGCAATGATCCCAGTGGCACACGTCATTTCCTAGCCCGACTACTTGACTAATGTCGAGCATCGGACCAGTATCGGGTGAGTTTCGCAAAGGACACTGCCTCAGTCCTGGCATGAGAGACTCAGATGTGCCTAGTTTAATACGTCAGTGTGGTACTACCTGCATGTTTCTGTCAGCAAGAGTGATGAAGATAGCGCTTAGGGTAAATGGAGTCTCACAATTTTAGGGACTCAATTAGCATACCCTGGAATATAATTTGTCATCAGCCAGCTGCCACTTTAAAACTTACGATAAATTGAAATTCGTCGGTTGGCTTACACATTCATCTGCATACAAACTTGGTTTTGACGGATGATTCCCTTGGAATTCAGCTGAACTTCTTGTTTATGATACTATTATTCCACTATACGTGCCGAATCAGGCTGTCTCCTGTTTCAGTTGGCACAACATTCGAGAGATCGCAGTGCACTCCGTGGGGTCAATCGACTAAGAACATCATAAACGACTGGGCACCAGGTGAGTCTCCCATCAAGACCGTATTGATCTGCAATTCAGTTTATTGCCCAAATCAGTCCGGAGAATGTGCCTACTTGATGACACATCAAAAAAGCGGAACCGGTCGT